CATAGTCTGTTTAACTTTAGTTCTTCTGTTGTTTATCATTTGCTCATAAGTAACCCAAAACAAGGGCTTTACAGAATGTTATTTTAAGTGAATTTATTGAGGTAAATATGAAATGAATATTAAGTTGACACCCTGCGTCATGTTGCTACTGAAGATAGACAGGGTGACAGTCCCACCTCCAGGAGGACTGCTGACCTTCTCCCCCAAAAAACAGGGCACCTACACTCAGCAACACCTTGCTTCTGAGTAGAGATGCTCCACCAGCTCCCCTGTGGGCTCTGTTTAGGAATTAGGAAGTGAAGCCTTGAGATCTACATTGCTTTATGGTTGCAGGTCCGGGATGGATGGGTGTTCATCTCCTTCACGGTACCACTGACTTCAACTGAAGGTAGGTTAGAGCAGCAGAGTGGGAACTTAGATCTGCCTCCTTCTGCCACCTCTTTCTACCCCATGGGATGGAGGCACAGCAACCTAGGAAACAGTCAAGCCACACTGGGAGATGGAGAGCTCTGTTCACACAGGTGTGTGGCCAGCCCTTGTTGATACCATCTCGTTCCACCACGTGGTTGCCTGGCAGATACGCAAGTTCTGTTCCCAGTTGAACCTCAGTGACACCAGCGGTGAGAAGCAAGGGAAATATGTATCAGAACTTACTTGCATCCTTTGATTTAGTTTTATTGCCCTTAAGTTGGGTAGGGGTTCATTCCATCGATAATGAAGAAAAAGATGGAAACTGTAGTGGTGACTAGCAAAGCTCACAGGGGCTCATTGTTGTTGATTGGGGCATAGAAGCTCAGTTGGCCACCAGATCCCACTGACACTTCGCTGGTAGAGGGTTGAGTGTACACCCAAGTCCACTGGGCAGAGGATAGAACAGCTTCCTGGGCCACCTTCCATTACTTGAAGTCCTATATCTTGAAAACCATTGCTTTTTGTGTCTTCTCTAGCATTTCTGGCAGGAAGATAAATCTGATACTTATTATTCCATCATAACTGGAAGAATCTGAAATGCAATCTTTTCAATTAATTACCAAACTTTTTGAGAAGATGGATGTGAGTTTTGCTAAATCACTCACAGTTGCTGCAGTTACTGGCATTGAATCATAAGTGACAAACTGGACTAAATCAAATCACACGAAAAAAACAAATTATTACACTATTTCCTCATAGTTTCAGCTTTTAATATTTGGTGTGTTCCTCAGTCCAATACAATCAATACTAAAATGATGTTTCATGCCCAAAGTCCAGTAGGTATTGCTTTTTAAATAAAAACAAAAATGATAAAGAACAGAAGGATATGAACTCAAATACATAAGTGAAATTGGTAATCATTCTACATAGCTGTGCATAAAATTTATACATTTAGTTAACAATATTGTAACAACGTAATTGTTTTAACTTTGTCAAATGTACTATGGCTACCGAAGAGGTTAAGTAGAGTAAGTCAGGAGAAAGGAATATATAAATTTTGTATTTTGGCAAGTCATTTGCACCTTTAAGTTCACCTCAAACCCAAAGGTAACTTCTGAGAACTCTTCCCTGCTTTCTTATTATCAGAGTTAATGACTTGACATATCATGGGTCGGGGAGATAGCTCAGTAGAATAAGTGCTTGCCTGGCAAGTCCAAGGGCCTGAGTTCAATCCCTGGTTCCACAAAAAAAATAAAATGACTTGACATATCAGAAATGTTTCCATCGTTAATCCCACTCATTTACACAGTCAGCAAAGCGTGTCATTTTTAACTTTTACACTGTTGTCTCTTTTCCTTCTGTAACACATTCTTTGCTCAAATTTCTATTAATTTCCGCTTAAATAATTACAATACACTCGGCAGTATCTCCTTACTTTTCTACCTGAGAGAAAATAGCTAACTTAGGTTCCACAAATGAATTGTCTGGAAGTAACTCTCTCGCTCACTGAAAATTACATTCACTTAACTATTCCAGATTAGAACTTCCTCAACTTTAAAGCCACATTTCAAGATAAATTATTTATATAGTAACTATGAAATACAGATGGACACATGGTAGATTGCCTGCCTAATACGGTAGAGGTACATCTTGAAATCTGCCAATTTATTGTATATTAATATGAAAATGCATTTTTACGTTCTAGATGCAGACAAATATAAATGATGGGGTCCAGAAAGATCATTTACTCATGTCTTAATTTCAGACTTTTTGTCATGTTTTCACATAAATAGCCCTCAGGAATGTCATAAAGGGCTGGCCAAAAAGCTCAGCAGATTAAAGCACCTGCAAGCAGGCACAGGGGCCAGGGATTCAATTCCCAGACCTGCCATGCCAGCTCCACCCCTGGGGTGTGTTGAGATGGCAATTGAGACTGGGCGTGGTGGCGCACCACTGTAATCCCAGCTCTTGTAAGGCTGTAAACAGGTGGATCAGTACAAGTCCGATCTAGTAGTGAGGCCCTGAACACCCTGTAAAACCTTCCCTAAAATACAAAGAAAAAAAAAGGAAGAAAAGAAAAGAAATGACATCAAACCCTGAAGCATACTGAAGCTCCTTTAGCTAAGTTCAATTTGGAACTTGCTATAGTTTCTAGTTTCTACTTTGTGCAATTTCAACCATGTAATATAGCCATACAAGGCAAAAGCAGTTAATTTTCATTTTGTCACTTTCAGTAATCTTAAATCCACATAGCTATAGAACTACCGACAAATTAATCCCAAGTAATACAAGTCACCCCTAAATGATTGAATTGCCTTCCCGGATACACGTAATAACACCCATTAATGAATGCACCTGTAATACATGGGTTAAAACCAAAGTAATAAATGTTTCAAAGAGATTTTTTTTCTAAGTTCAATTGCAGGAAACAATAGAATGTATTCTTAAAATTATTCATGAGCTTTAAAAGCCGTCATCACCTATGTAATATTGTCAACTTTAATATTGTTTATGACAATGAATGCAGACATTAGCATCATTTACAGTTTTTAAACAAATTATAATTTTCTGAAGTTTTTTTATTTTATAAATCAGATTCAGCTGATGTTCCAGATTTTCAGTTTCTCCCCCTGCTTTTTTGCCTTCATATGGAAAGAATTACCCAGCATTTCTTAATGAGAAATAGCAATCAGATATCTTAAACTTTTATTTATAGACTGCAAATATTTTTAAAAGTTACATTAGATATTTGAACAGATTTAAAAGACAAAAAAGGTGTGTTTTACTTGAATTTTCCAGTTTGCAATAAACATTACACTGTTATAACACTACACGTCCACTGGGTAAAGGGCGAAAGGTTAATGAATAATTCAGATTTACTGCCTGAACCTCACCATCATAATGGTTTTCATACTGCTTGGTTATTTCTAGCTGGCCTCGCTTAACTGGCATAGTCCACGTTTCCACAGAGCGCCATTCAGTGAAGAAAATCTACCCTGAGACTCTAAGCCTTAACAAATTGCCAAGGGATGAAGCTAGAGATGACTGAGGCACTCTGCATATTTAAATATTCAGAATCCAAACTTTATAAATACAGAGGGTAGGAAAGAAATTTAAGCAGGGGCAAGAAAAAAAGTTCCTATCTGCACCCTGGGTTGTTTGCCAGTTCACTGTGATGTTAAATAAGAACCTTGGCTTTAAATATTGACAGATGAATGATGCGACTGAGGAAGCATTATTAGCCAGCAAGGGCTGCATGTTGTACAAGTGCTCTTGTTTTAGTTCTGGGGGCACTTGGCATAAGGACCCTCCACTATTATCTGCAGCTTGGGGATGCACAGCTGGAATGGCAATGGATTTGTTATCTGTAAAACATCCATGAGTTTTGCCACAGGCCTTCTACCAACGTGGATGCATCTGTGAATCAAACTGTTCCCCAGCTGTCCCTCCACTCCCTGCAGGTTCTTGTGGTATAAAGCCCCTATTAATACTGCTGGTTACACTATACCCCTGATAGGTCTGTACAAAATCCTTCCTCTACCACTACACTTTAATGCATAAAATCCCCAAAGATAAATCCCTTGAGATTCTTTTTTTTTTTTTTTTAAAGCCATGTCTTTTTGTAGTTAGTGCCAGGGTTTTCAGGGCAATTCTCTGTATTTCCATTTGAACCTTTTAATTTTCAAAGTTTCTCCAAAAGATTCTCTCTTCCAGACAGATACACACTCACTACTTTCACACATACACATAGACACACCAGAGAGAGAGAGAGAGAGAGAGAGAGAGAGAGAGAGAGAGAGAGAGAGAGAGCCATGAAAGAACAATTCAAATGTTCAGTAGACTAAAAACAAATGCCAGACTGAAGTTGTTTTAGGCCTTATCTTCAAAAGCACAATGGCTTCAGGACCCTTTAACAAATAGCTTTTTCTTAATAAGGCTCAGGACATTTTCATTTCTTTAACAGTGACACACATATTTTAGGTTTTAATTAAAAGCTTTGAGTGATAATAATTTGTATCATTGTACCACCGTACTTTTATTTAAAAACAAATTGCATGTATAAATCATCTGGCAAATAGGATTTAACAGCTTTACCTCAGGAAATGGAAAAGGAATAGAATTTTATATTAAAAGCAAAGCAATAATCTGTTTACATTTTCAAAGGACACTTAAACACCAACTAATAATTATGATAAATGATTACAAGATTATTACTTCAACATAGTTTTTCAAATGTTAATGGAGCACACAATGGTTTGCTTGAAAATTCAGCTATCATCAGTGGTTATTATGTTTTATTTAAAGGCTCCAAAAGTTTGTTAAGATCATGTTAACTGCTGTGATCCTTGAACTTTCAAAAGTAGTCTGCTAAGTCTCCAGCATAACAAATCTGTAAGTTTTTGACATCGAAGTGTGTCCAGTATCTAGTTTCTTATAAATTTGTTTCATTAAGTGTATAGGATATATGAGGTGTGATTAGAAAAAGAAAGCAGGATGACTGGCAATTAAAAATATTACAGTAAAAGGCACATTACCACTCAACCCCTCAGCATACTCGCTCTTCTGTTCAACTCACTTATCCCATCTTGCTTGGCATCTGCAAAGAAGAAGTTCTGGAAATCCTCTTTCATGAGTGTCTCTAGTTGAGTTGTCATAGCTGTTGCCTAAATGGATGTAAAAATTTACATTTCATAGTCATTTGGATTTTAGGGAAAAAACTGGACATCTTGTGGTGCCAGATCCAGTAAATAAGTTGGCTGAGCACAATCTGAGGCTTTCAGCAGCCTGCCTTTCCACTGCATTGCACTGGACAGCAGCAGCAGCATTCTCCTTATTTTTTATAACATCTTGTAGACACTCATGAAAGACGGCTTCCAGAACTGCCCCAGAAAGCAGCAATAACACAGAGACAGGCATATTCAAAGTGAGAGGATGTATTTCCCGGATATTAATGACAATGTGTCTTTCAGTGTAATGCATTTTTTGTAATACATTTTTTAACTCAAACATATATTATAGCTTTCATTGGCCCATGGAGGCGTCATCAGGTAGAGGTTGACAAAATATCATTCACTAACAAAGAAGCTGTTAATAATTTCTTTTCTGTGCAGATTTCTAGATTTCATTTGGACGTTGGTATGCTTTTGAATTTTAAATACTGAACACTTTTAGATTTCAGATATAATATTTATTTATATTCATAAGTAAACATAAATATGAGCTGTATGTTGAAGAAACATTTTAGTGGGAAGGCTACTTTCAAATGGTAAATAATATATTTGCCTCCTTACTTGAGGGGAAAAAATATGACAAATACTTTGTCCTGTTCCTATTAAAAGAAAAAGCATCAGCAGGCTGGAGGTTTCACTCAGAGGTGGACAGCGAGTACTTAGCATTCAGAAGAGCTCGAGTCCCTGGCCCTGAAGTAATAACCATATTAATAATAGAAAAGTAATTAAAATATTAATTTATTGTTTCTGCAGTTATTTTTAAGAAGCAGAATAAATCGTTCTGCTGATGAAGTTGGTCTAGTCTGTGGACTGCTGGCTGATATCCCAAGTTTTTCCAAAGACAAAACCATTCTCTCGCCCATTTATTATTCTTCTCCCTTTCGTTGTTTTACAGTTTTCCTTCACAACCTTCAAGCCCTTACTGCCTGCTACCAAGTATTTGTCCCTGACAACTTCTATACCGTTTGTGATAGCGCACCAGTCATAGGTCATGGCAGACACATGGACCTATGTTAGGCCTTCTCTTTGCTGAGAGTCCTTTTTGTCTAGAATACTTATCATCACAATGCACGTATTTTTTTCTGACCATCACAACTATGCAAATGTACCAAAATTCTTTAAAAGCCATGCATTTATATATTCATCCTTTTTTTGCCAGCTCAGCCCACCCTGAGGGCAGGGCTGGTGCAGCATGTCGTGCCAGTGTTGGAACCATCATCCCTTAGGCCTGCCTAAGTTTGCCTAAGCAGGTGCTTTAGACTGCTGAGCTATCTCTCTGACCCCTATTTATTATCTTAACCTATCATTTTTTCTAAAGTAAGAATCCCATTTTTCCCACAAGTACCAGAAATCTTAATCAAAGAGTGGCTCAGCTAGATTAGGGCTTTGTTTTTCTTATATGTAAGTGCGTGGGCAATTTGCCAATCTAATTCCAAGCCTAACTTCTATCTTTGTCCACAAGATCACACTGTGCCACTCCAGCATCAGCCATCATTTCCTCATTCCAGCCGTGGAGAAAGTTGTACAGAAGGGGTACATCCTCAGAAGAAGCACAAAACTCCTGCCTCTTTTTAAAATAGTTTTAATGAGAAACAACTAGCAATGAGACAGTTTCAAAACTGATTAGTAGGACAGCTTCAATAATTAATACATTGCATATTGTTGTCTTCTTATTGGTTATTCATTGTACAAAATGCAGACATGGTATCCTGTCCACAAACATGATTAGAACAAATCTTTCTATTCATTGAATTAAGAGAAAGTAGCTGTATATCTAGTCTAACTATTCTGAATATACAGAGACAAAATGGTCCTTCATTTGTATCCCCTATTTTGTTTAGTTTTGTCAGAGAAGGGTATTCCATTGTCATTTAAATATTGTACGTGTGTGAATTCAGCAAAATAATCCAATATAGTCCAGTAGTCCATAATAATAGTGGGTTTTCCCATAGGACTGGCAATGTCAAAAGTTGTTGACTTGAGCCTTTTACGGCTCAGCATATTAATAATGGATTTACTGCTCAGCATATTAATATGGCTTTACTTTTTATACTTCATTTTTATACTTTTCTGCTGGAAGGTTAAGACCAAGATAAAGCAAGACCTATATAACAAGAAATGTGAATTTTATATCTGACAAGGTCAGTCAAATTCCCTTTGCCTGTGGCCCCATAATCTCCTTGATCAGTAAATTTGGGACACAACTGAGTTACAGGATGTTGCAGTACAGGTTTTCCTATGTCCTGAGTCTTCAACTGACCTTCAAAGGCTAGGGCCAAAATGTTGGCTGTCCTTGTACCCCTTCTTTTTTTCCAATTTTTGGCATGCAACTTAAGTTGTTAACCCTCCAGAAAAGAAGCTTATTAGTAGTACCTTACAACATAGGCAGTTGAGCTTAACCTCACTATCTGTCTGAATATCAAACATCTTAGACACTCCTCCCTCTACACAAAACCAATCTTAGAGGGGCCTCCAAATAGCTCAGGGACTAAAGCATCTGCTTACCCAGGAGCAAGGACCAAGGTTCGATCCCTGGCGTTCCTTGTCTGCTCCACCCTGGGGCTCACTGAGAGGGCAACTGAGGCTGGGCCTGGTGGCGCGCCCTGTAATCTAAGCACTGGGGAGGCTCAAAACAGGAGGATCACTAGTCAGATGTGTGTACAGAGATCCTGTAGTGCCTGTACTAAATAGATAAAAAGGAAAGCGGTCATAGCTGCATAAGACTCATAAAATATAATGGTTTTGCCACTTTGAAGAACCATGGTATTCATTTAAACATACAGACTTGGTAATAAATAGGTGACCAGTCACATCTATTGAGTTTTCATCCACATTTTTATGTTTTACTTGTTTTTCTCCCTTCATCAAGTGATTTCTGTATTTTCTTATATATTTAATGGCCTGTCTCCCTATTCCAAACAGGTGAGTTCCAGGAGAACATAAAACTCTTTGTCTTATTCTCTGCCACATCCCTATAATTGTGAGAACTCTCCAGCATGTAGCACGTGTTTTGTAAATATTTCTTAGTGAAAGAATATTATTTACGGAAGTAGAATTACACATTAACTGCCAACTTGTGTAATTCAGATTTATTAAATCTTTCTTAACCATTCACCAAAAGTACATTTATTACTTCAGTTTATTGTGTCAATCATTACTGGAATTTTCCCAAAGAATTTCATGTAAAATTAAAATTTGCAAAGACTCAGTCACTAAATACGTTGTTTTGCTTGGAAAGAACTTTAATCCTTATAGTCCAACATATTTACTACAAAGCCGTGTCCTGTTATTTTGGCATCCTCCTACTATTTCCTGTCAGTTTTTCCACCAGTAACAAAAATGTGGGAAGTAACATTTTTTCAAGCAAATACTAAATGCTAAAATCTCTGCCAAATACCACAGATATGAGCGTTTCAGATTAAGAAAGTCATTTATTTAATCCAGTTCTATAATGCTATAAGTAGATCAATGATTATTGTCTCTATTAAGGCTCATGCTTTGATTGGTAGTGCAGTATTTCAAAAACTAGCAATCTGTTATAACTCAATTAAGAAGGCTGGGCTAGTCTTTATTTAGTGTTAAATGAAAGAGTTGCATAAACTTTTGCTGAATATCGCATGCATATAAATAGTTTCACGGGAAGGTGTTCAAACGCCTTACACAAATGCAGCTGGGGAATTTAGTAGTTCTTTTAGGGACTTGTACGAAAAATAAAAAGTTTGAGACATGTCACTCTTATCACCAAAATCCATCCTTTCTGGAGCAGGCTGCCTGGGAAATGGTTACTTTTCAATTCCCTGGTCTTTGATATTGTTGAAGGCAAAGAAAAATCATTAGCGCTTGGCTGTTTTCAGTGACTTGAGTGAACAGTCAATGCCACTCAGTTTTCAAGACTTGGAAAACAAATTTGAAGATAAGAAAGGTAGTAATTTCCAGGCTCCCAAGGAATTCTTCCATAGTTTCTAAATCCAGTAGATGTTTCAAAGAAAATAGAGAAAAGTTATGGAATTTTTAAATTTTCCTATAAGTATATAATAATTACTAAAAGATGAATTTTAGTTGTCCAGATAATTACTTTCCCCCTGAGAAGACTAAAAATCTAGTAACTATCATTTAACTGAAGTTACACAGAATTGCAGAACCAACTTAAAAGTAATGTTAAAAGTAATACCCAGTTTTCCTGACCTTGACCTTGTACTCAGCCTGGTGTTTCAGTAAAATGCCCAACAGATGGTCAAATAAAGAGGGTCATTAATTCTTTTCAGGGTGCAGTGCCATTTAAATACCCAGAAAGAAACAACCTGCTAACTATTATACAGATTTTCTGGAAAGAGCTAACAGGATGAAGGGTTTCCACCCACAAAATATTTTACAGACTTTAACCATTCTAGAAATAGAATTTACTTTCAGTTTTAGAATAATTTTCACTCTTAAAATGCACGTATTTCTTTCTTTCTCTTTGTTTGAAAGATCAGGCAAAGGGTTGGCGTCTGCTATGTTCTACTCATTCAACTCCTTGTTTATAAGAATTTTCTGGGATAGAATAGCATAGAAATGAAACAATCACAGGTAAAATTGGAGTCTCAGTTTTAAGGTTTTCTACTTTAGATTTTATTGTGGATCTATTAATGAAGATTTAGAAGTATATTTCAATATCAAGTCCTCCCTAAAAATGGTTCAAAAGTATATTTCACTATCGAGTCCTCTCTAAAAATGATTAATTATAATTCCAGATCTGATAGCTAAAACATGTAAATATATTATTTTATGCATAATACTTTTAAATCAAAATGAATACTTCAGCTCCATTTCCACTGTAGCTAACTCACTTATAAGCATTTAGACTCTTGAAGCATAACTTTGTCACTGATATAAATCTTATTTTTGTGCTGTAGATATTCTTTATTTTGCATGTGACAAGATCAAAAAATAAAAGTTTAGCAGTTTTAAACATTGAGAAATAATTCATAATACAAGTATATTCAGTAGGGGACTGTAAGCATCGCTTCCTACTTCATAATGCAAAGTTATTTTTAGAATTTTATTTATGACTTATCTGGATCAGAGTAGTATGCCAGAGAAGAGGAAAAGAAGGATGGGTGATGACAAAGAAGGAGAGAGAAAAAGAGGCTGGACAAGGAAGAGGCTAACAGAGGGGATGAAAAAGGAGGAGGTAACTAGAAAAAACACTGCTTTTTCCTGTTTCCTGCTACATTCTGTTCTGGATGAAAGGAAGACGAGGTGACACACATTTAGATAGTTTAAAAGGAATTCTTTCCAAAGCATCCTGCATAGAACACATATAATCCCATCTACTGATGAGTCCAAGCTCTGGCCCCTTTCCCACATCTGCTTTTCTCATTCTCTCAGTTTTCCCGGGTTCTTTCAATATTCCATTGTTCCCTTTCTACTCAAGTGCAATCTATTCACCTAAATGATAGAATCATGCTGACGTAAGTCTTCCTGTATCTTCATCTTCTGAAAAGCTTTCCACTGTACAATTAATTGGAAAACAAATTACAATAAGAAATACATGATTTTGACCAAAAATTTGGATTTTGATCACCAATACTGAACGAACTTAAGAAACACTATTGATGCTCTGTTAAGGAATAGTAGAGAAGCTATCCTGCAGATAGACTGTGGGTAAGTTGACAGTATGAAGAAACTTCAATGAGAACATTTATAACTAAATTTGGCTCTAAAATTTATAATTGACATAGGAAATAATTTCTTTCTTATTAAAATAATTGTAATATTTTAAGAGCATTAAAAATTTCTTATTGCTGCATTTCAGTTTGGGGAGAATATTAAAGAATACTGATACACCTATATTTGGGGGTTCATTTATTTTCTTCTTGGAAAATATTTCCAATGTGATGATATTTTTTTATGTGTGTGTGTGTGTGTGTGTGTGT